CTCCGCGCCCCTGCTTCCCATTGACGCACTTTTTAAGCGTCTTCCCCTTCTCCACCTTAAGGCAAGCAGCAGCGGCAGCGACCAATCACCATGCCATTACAGCCTTCAGAGGAAGCTGTTTATGGGACTGCCGCGCTAATTAGGCTCATGAACTAACAAATCTGCCTGCACGAACCCGGCGAGGAAAACGATCACATCCATGGATTAGTCTGGGAGTAGCCGAGCACTTTTTATTTTGGCTTCCTCGAAGGTGCCGCCGTTTTCCAACTTATTTACTGCACAGAAACTTTCCCCATTTCTTGGGTGTGGAGTATTTTTGAAGCGAGAGCGCCTACGACAACTTCAACTTAAACTGGGGAATCTGGACTATCAGACCATGTTTCAACCTACACCCAAGAGGTGTTTTACTATAGAGTCTTTAGTGGCCAAGGATAATCCTGTACCGGCGTCCCGGTCCGAGGAGCCCATCAGGCCAGCGGCTCTCAGCTATGCAAACTCCGGTCAGATGAATCCCTTTCTGAACGGCTTTCACTCCGGCGGCAGGGGCGTCTACACTAACCCGGACTTGGTGTTTGCCGAGGCGGTCTCTCATCCACCAAACTCCGCCGTCCCGGTGCATCCGGTGGCCCCGCCGCACGCTCTGGCCGCTCACCCCCTTTCATCCTCACACAGTCCGCACCCTCTTTTTGCCAGCCAGCAAAGGGACCCCTCAACTTTCTATCCCTGGTTATTACACAGATATAGGTACTTGGGTCACAGATTTCAAGGTAAGTGATCAAAATGATTCGTGTGGGTCACTTTTACGATCGAAACGCGCTGAGCGGCCGGAGAGTGGAGACAGATTGTTTTTTCAAAAGGTAAAATGTAAATAGAATTAAAACCCAGTGAGCACTTCTAAAGCCCATCATCTCAAATCCTCAGGCTCAAACAGACACTTATTTAAAGGATTATTAGGCTCAAAAAATGACCTCGAGTTTCTTCATTTAGGGTTAAAATATTCTTGAGGAAATGATTGTTGCCTTGTCTTCTGTCGCCGTCTGCTGCTTGGATGTCTGTTCTGGGCGTTAAATGTTATATTTGGACACTGTTGGTCTGCACAGTGCTCTATTCTCTATATTCGGCCATGAAACCAAATAAATTATCTCGCTGCTCTGCAGTTTATGCTCAAGCCTATGTCACAATTTAACTAGGAAGGAAAAAATAAAACACTGTGAAAGGTTATTTGTCTGGCCTACAGATACATTTCTAAGGCTGATACGAGTCAGATTTTGGGATAATTATAATTCTGTTAATAAAGCTGACTTGGCCCTGCAAGATACTCCACTAAAGAGTTTATTATTTTTGGTATGTGATTGTTAATATTTTTCCCTAAGACACTGAGGCTAAATTATCACATTTTACAGGAATAAATACGAAATTAATTTCTGAAGTATTTCTGGTTGCTGTTAATTTAAATGGCTGTTTTGAAGCTAATTTAATTAGGCCCAGGATTACATCTGTGCTTTGTTTCCCTCTGTCCTTCATATGGTGGTCTCACAAATAACCCTGCCACCATATGTCTATAATAACATAAATACATAGGCTATATTTTGATTACCTTATTTTATTGACTGCTGTCCAGCTTCTGTCCGGACATTATCATCACGTCATACAGTCCTGCCCTCAGTGCACTGTTGTTTGACGGCTGTGCGCAGGCCTGCTGGTTGTTGGTATCTAATTTTATACAAGGGTCATGACGGGTCCTCGTTTTCTGCTCGTTTCCAGGTAATGAAACGAGTCCAGAGAGCTTCCTTTTGCATAACGCGCTGGCCAGAAAGCCCAAAAGAATCCGGACAGCTTTTTCACCTTCGCAACTCCTGCGGCTCGAACACGCATTTGAGAAAAACCATTACGTGGTGGGAGCAGAAAGAAAACAGCTCGCCCACAGCCTTAGCCTCACAGAAACTCAGGTAAGAAACATAATATTTACCTCAGTGTTTAACTTCGCCTCTTACCTTTTTATCTCACCTGGACGCAGCGTCAATGCGCATGTTTTATTTTTACATGTACTGTTGCTTCGCAGTGTGCTACGTGATGTCTATCACAGCGAGATCATTTATACCTCACAATCGTTTTGGTTATTATTATAAAAAGTTACTTCTCACATAGTGGCTGATATCGCGGGATGTACGCGACATTTTAGTCGTTCTCTGAACATGGCACCATGCGTCATGGAGCCTTTTATAATCAGGCCGATATAAAATGAGTGGATAATGACGAATGGCAACAAAGAAGAATAGTGTCATTTGCAAAACAGTAATTTTAAATAATCAGCTCCCACATTGTTTCGACACACCAGGCTCCATAAATGCATGTTGTCAGTCGAAGACAGAGGCTTTCTGTTGGATTAAATCCACCGTCATTGTACGGGCCTAACCTCATTTTACGAGGGGTTGAATTACTTTGTTTTGGGGGGAGAATGTTGCCTTTCACAACGGAGGGCAAATTAACCAGTTAACCATTTTATGGGGTAGGCGATACAAAGAAGCGAAGCGGGTTCACTGAAGTCCCTCTGCCATATTTAAGATGCTGTTTGAGTCCATCAGCCGCTGTCTTTTGTCCGCTGTGTCTGCTTTGGATGGCGGGGCCTTTGGAGGAGCTGAAGGGAGAAATGAACCATCACCTACTTCAATTAGCCCACTGAAGGCTTATTAAATACACCTCGGTTGCCATTTAAGAGCTAAAAGGAGCTGCGCGGTGACAAAGCAGGAACAGACAATTTATCGATTTAGATGTTGTTAATTCTCCACGGTGCCATTTATTAACAAAGCCGAGTCGATTCAGAGGAGTGTGTGAAAATCTGTTTAACTTTGTGACGTTCTTTTATTTCTTTTTACATTTGCATGCTGGCAGAAATACTCATATTGTGAAAAAAATGCTCTGACCTACTTTAGTACTTTAGTTTTTCTTTGTTTCTTTGTTTAGTTTAGTTTAGTTTTTCCAGACATCAAGTGTTAAATGAAATACGATTTGTTTATTCCACCTCTTTGCCTTGAACTTTATTCATATTTTTTTAGTTTAGGGTGAAATGGATAAAAACTGTGCATCGTTTTATTTTTGGAACAAAGGCCGAGGTCACTGCGTCATAAATAACACGAGAGTAACAACTGTCATTTGTGGACTTAAATACACGGATTGTGTTTTCCTGGGAATATAAGTGATCTTTGTATTTTTTTGCGATTATTTCCTCTGTGACCACCGACTGCAGCTCACGGTTTACTTTCTTATTACCACAACACTGCTGCCTGCCCGTATTTAGCCCTGTTCTCCAAACAATGTCTCTTTTATAAGTCGTTTTACGCACAAGCCAGTCGCGGTTTATCTCGTGACAGTGATCCACTTTTTTGTTCCCTTTCTTTCCTTTATCTTCTTCTTAAGGTAAAAGTGTGGTTTCAGAACCGGAGAACGAAGTTCAAGCGACAGAAGCTGGAGGAGGAGGGCTCGGAATCTCAACAGAAGAAGAAAGGATCGCATCACATAAACCGGTGGAGACTGGCGACTAAACAAGCCAGCCCAGAAGAAATTGATGTCACTTCGGACGATTAAAGAAAGACTATACAAGTCTGAGTGAAGGAGAACATGAGTAAAGGACCCCGTGTAGAGACAGTGAGAGGGTAAAAAAGCCAGTTACATTTCAGATCTCCGGATATTGGCAGCTGAGGGTGAGAGAAACCTAAATGGTGGAACTGCTGTCACCACGTGGGTCTGTCAGTCCAGATGACCCAAGAAAATGTGACTGACAGTGTCTCCGTCCACCTACCTTCCACGCATCAACCACCACCACTACAATCACCTCATCTGCCACCAACTAATTATTTTTTTCTCCAAATAATATTGAACGTTTGCACTTCAGAAGATTAAAAAAGTTTCACTCAAGATACCAAAACACCAAACTGCTTTTGTAAAACTTGAACTGCATGGTATAGAGTTTTCCTGGTAGTTGTTTTAATTTGACAGGTTTTCTCAACCCAAGGAAAAAAAAAAAATCCATTATGTTTTTACCTCTATTTTCAAACTGAGAGATGTCGTGCTTCTGCCTTTTTACAAAGTGTGCAGTCTTTAATTAATGATTCTCGTGTAAAAGTGATTGTGAAACCATATGAAGTAGCGGTGCTGCGTTATAGTGTTTTTTTAAGAGAACTAAAAGTGAATTTGGATTTAAAGAAGGTGGGGAATCAGACCACAGATAAAGTACTTAAAGGGGAGGTATCAGGACATTCCTTTAACCTAAAGCTTTACCAATGTGTCGCTTTGGCCCCAAGCAGCCTACTGTCAGAACTTGACCCACCGGTGAAAGTCACGAAGGAACTAAATGCAAGAATTGAGAGGAGAAAAAGAAAAAAATCAAAACTTCAAGCACTGAGCATATTCCATGTACAGAAAATGCTAAAAGTTAATGTTTCTGTTAAACTCTCTTTTACAGAATGTAAATAATTTTTGTGTTTGTGTTAAGTTTGCTACAATTTTAACACAAAGTATACTTCCAAGAAGTATGTAATTGTCAATATTTTGTCAATAAAGTTTTATCAGTATGTTGCGCGCAGTAAAAGTACAGGCTTTTGATTACACAGAGCAGCTGAATTGAGGCCTTTGACCAAATGAAGCTCTTAGGGCGAATAATTTGGGTTTAGTGTGCAGTGAGGGCTGCTGATGTGGCGTTAAACACTGGAGATAAAACACCGGGAGAAAAACGCTGCAGTCTGTGATTTGTCTTTAGCTCTGCATTTGTTTCTCAGTCTGATATAGACAGCATTATTTGTATTTTAGAGGGGCTGCAGCGTCTGCTCCGCTCCAGCTACAAAGAGTCTCTACAAGCTTTTGTGAAAGTGCAAATCAGTTTGGGCAATTATCATGCGAGTAATATGAGGGGGAAAGGGGATGCATAGCCCAGTGGTCCACTCTAATCTCTTAATCCACCGATCCAAGGGGGGTTGGTTGGACATAATTTAGTACAATCTGACTACCCCTCACGACGCGATAAGGAAAGGTTGCAACGTGCCGCAAAATGGGATCTTTGTTTAAAATCTTGTCTTGCAGGCTCCATCATGCTGCAAGCCGCTGGACTGAACGGGGACATTACACGACCTCTTTAGAAGCCTGTAGACTATACTAAAAAGATATTTACAACAGCAGCCTATTGCCCGTATATACACACACAAACAACCCAGCTGCCAAACCATGAACACACGCAGCCCAGTAGAAAATCCGAATCCGAATCTGCTTTATTGGCCAGGTGTGTCGGACACACGAGGAATCTGACTCTGGTACATCGGTTCTTAAAAAAATCAGACAAATTTAAACTGGATTATGATTTCCCCCTCGTGTGTAAACAACGAACCCAGCTTCAGTGTTTTCTGGTGCAAGGCGTTTGTTTAATTGTTTCACAAACTAAAAAAAACTGTTTTTGTGCTTTGGGTTGTGAGGGCATGTCATATAGGGAATTCTTAACCGGCACGTAGAATATAACAGCAATAAAAATCTTTAGAGAATACCATTAGCTTTGGGTGAAAAAACTAAAAGCTTTATTACAAACCCAGCTTTGAAATAGGGGGATTATAGGACTGAAAGGGTCCCACAATAGTTAGAAGAAAAGGTTTCATGCTAATGAGGTTAATGCCCTTTGTATCTCCGGACTCCACAACTTCATTACTCCTATCTCGGGCAACACCGAACGGCTCAGAGCTTCACAATCCACTCGAGCTTTTCCCTACCCTGCCTATAAAGAAGGATTTGATAGCAGTCCTGTTCAAACTAGATAATTATATCTTTTCAAGTTGGAATTAAGATAAAGGAAGTGCAGTGGAGGCGGTGAGCCTTGATCCGCCGTCATTTAAACGCGTTTCAGTTTAAATTGGAAATACATTCAGCTATAGCTCTCTTTATAGAAAAATGAAATGGATTTTGTGGACATAAAAATGTAGCAGGTTAAACTACAAAATTTAAAATTCAAATTTACCAAAGCTAAAGCCCGGTCTTCTTGTCCGAACTGCTAAATCAAATGACTCCTAAGGCACCCGACGGCATATTTAAATAAAATAAACAAATAAATGAACGTGACCTATAGATGGGCATTTTATAAATTAATTTGCACTTTGTGTAAAACGTTCTCAGTCCAAATCAGACCTTTCCTAAATTATCGAAAAAACTTGCATTGCGCATTTAAGCTGCAAACCACGCAAAACTTGTCTAGCAGGCTATTTACATACATTTTACATGGTAGAATTTCAGCGCACTGTTCTTTTCTGGTCCTATTAGAGGCCGATCAGGCGCCATTTGAGATTAAGGTCACATGAAAATAATTGGTGTGGACAGAATTCAAGCGGTGCGTGTGTGTTATGATGTGAAGTGGGCCCTCACACATCAGATCCTCGTGCTGGGCGCTGAGAACCAGCTGGGGGGGACCTTTGGTGACCAGTTTATCTAAACTTAAGCTGCTCCGCTCCGTCCAGGGGCCAAACTCTCCATAAATCAGCACAGCTCCGGAACACTCTGATTATTCCTTAAGTAGTCACGGCGGAGCCAGTGTGGACGTTTTGGACCTACAAGCCCCGCTGCATTAAATATTTAGCCTATCCTGCAATGTGAAATGATTATCCGTCATTGAAAAAAGTAGTCGGTCCTATCAAGTGACCCCACTGACCCAAAACCTCTAATTTGCAATTAGTAGGTATAATTACGTCCGCTGACACCACTAATGTGAACAGCGGCTGAGGGGGAACAGGCGGAAGACATGGATTCGGATTAGTGCTGAAAGTCAATAATTGATTGAGCTGAAATCTCTTAAGTTTGGAGAAGTGACTTTTTGAATAGATGGCTTTGGATAGTTTGTCAGCGTCTCGTCGGGGTAAGAGACATGTCTCTGAGGTGGCACCTGTAGGCCGTCACGACTAACTTGATCTGTCCCGTTTCACAAATTGCCTCTGAAATTGATCCTTGAAACAAGAGAATGAACCCTACACAACTCCCTCGGCCTTGACATAAGGTACAGCGACAAATATACAAGACTAACGAGCAATTACCATACAATCACCCTTCAAACAGCTTACACAACCATAAATTAAACATGGAAGCCTCGGATTCAGTTTCTCCTTTTTTTAATAGCGAGCAGGGGCGTTTGCAGCCACGATGCGCTCTGATGATTACATTTTCCAAACGTAGCAATTTCCAATTTGCCATCGGGTACAGCCAGCACTGTTTGACTCGGACTGACTGACTGACTGACTGTTTCGCGGACTTTCTACCCACATGCACAACCGCGCAGACGCGAAGGTGGTTTTTAATCACTTTTTGTTATACATTTAAACCTATTTCTAATTTAGATTTTGAAGGAGATGAGGCATTATGATTACACAGGCCTAGGAAGAGACAGCCAAACAGCGGCCTGCTACGTTCACTTACGCACATTGTTCCTGTTAAACACTTAATCGTGCTGAACAATTCTTATCAATATATTGTCTAAAATGAATATGTTTTGATGGAAAAGTGGCGAATGCCAGTATGTATAAAGTTACTTTGACTACATCTATTTATTTTCCTGTCTCTGACCCAATTAGCCCGCTAAATGTCCTTTATTCTTTTCTTCTATGTCGGAATTAATGAATTCAGAGCAGGGTTACAGCTTGTAGACACACACAGTAAGAGCCTGGCACCAAAGTGTGATTGTTAATAGATGAACGAAGCCAAGAGCCACATTACAAGCTGCTCTAACAAACCCATTGAGTTTTGTCACTGAGTAGGTTTTGGTGCTCCTTGGAGGTCAGCACACATACCAGGTATTACCAAGAGATGCTGCAGACTTACAAGTGACAAATGGACATTGCACAAAGAAATATTAATTGAGAACTGACGTGCACAAACGCTTCTTTCTCCTTCTGTCAGGCTTCTCTTTTGGCCTTGGTCCCACACCTCCAGCATTTGTCTGAACTGGCATCCTGATCTGATCAGCTGTTTTTCCTATTATTATTATTTTCACCAGCTGTAACAGTAACCATATTTTCCAGTGTATTAATATTCTTTTAACCTACTGAGTTCACATAGATATCTAACATTTATTTTCTTTAATGATTGGGTTGACTGTAATGTGATGCAGTTTCATTTGCATGTTTCCCACAAATCCATCAGCTCTGAAGATAGCAGTTGTCGACCCCTGTCCTCTAAAGTTCCAAACTCCAAACATTTTATAGGTTGTATCTGCAACCAGCATTCCCCTTAGCGCACTAATGTGTAACATATGGCAGACTGTACACCTGATAAAATACCTCAGGGGCCCTGCATTTTGGAAAATCCTCAATTCGCGCCCTAAATAAAACAAACAATGGCCTCACTAAACATATCACATGCGCCTGCCGAACTATTTTATGTCTCTTGACCTGCAAGTCCCCTTTATCAGCACTGATACGGGTCTTTCGATCTGCTGGTCTGTGCTAGTGGTGAGTACTTCTTAAAATAATATACGTTGAATAGGTCGTAGGCCTATGGTGTGTTGAACCTACAATGGTCTTATACCTGTATGGCGCTTTACAGAACACTCAAAGCGCTTTCACACTACTTGACCATTCGCACCCCGGTGCTATCACCGGGAGCAACTGGGGGTTCAGTGTCTTGCTCAAGGACACTTCGACATGTTGACTGAAGAAGCCGGGAATCGAACCGCTAATCCTCCGGTTAGGAAACGACCTGCTCTGCCTCCTAAACCACAGCCGCCCCCACATCAACGTTACTAATTCTTCAGTCCAGGTTTTTCTGTCGTTCCTTGTCAAGACATGATCACATCCAATGAAATTAGTTCACATCTAAAACTGACTTCTTATTCTGCTTCTGCTCTGTTGTTTCAGCTCCGTGAAAGTGCAGCAAATGTGGATACAATTAGAGCTGAAATGTAATATAGCTGCTGGTGTGTGGGTTATTACGCAGACAGGTGAAATTGTGGGCACCTGTTCTGTCCCTGCTTTGCAGCCGCCTGAGCTTCACTGTCTCCCCCTCTTGGTAGCTGGGAGAGAAAAAATCTGCCTCCAGAAAACATGAAATATCATGTTTCTGTTGGCTGAGCCTGATGGTAGTTGAGTGCTTAGTGTCTGGAAAGTGAGGCAGCATAATATACTTAGATAGGGGATGCTGCTCTGCTTTCCCTTATTCGTTTTCAACATAACAGTCAGCTGAGCCTCTGACACATATTTAAAATGTAATTTAAGATTTTTGGATTTTTCATTAAGTGCTTTAAAATATATTGGTGTTGAAAAAGTGAAGTAAATCACATAATGTTGCACAGCACTTGCCTGATAACATATAACA